AAAGAGCATAATTAAGGGATTCACTGGTTCAGGAGCACCCTGAGTGAATTCATACACTTGGGTATCAGCCTGGGCATGATGGTAATTTGTAATTTTGTTGTCAGAGGCTCCTGCCACCTTATGGGCTACCAGGAAGAAATGGGTTTTCCATGCACTTTTGCAAAGGAGAAATTTGCACAGGGAGGGAAGTCTGACCCACAGACGTGGGTGGTGGGGTGGTAAGTTTGGTGTTTGTCCACCCAGCCTTGCAGCAGTTGCTGGCCACAGCTGCAGTTTATCCTGTCCCATTGAGATCACATCCACTGTGGAAGATACCAGTGTCAGTGAGGGAACTCTCTAGGATTAACACTTGCTAATGGCTGTTGTCACACAGACAGCAGAGGGAGCTCATTTATTGCTTGTGTGGGGACTATGTCAAGAAGGTGACATTTAGAAATAAATCCATAAAAAATGATCCAATGTCAAGACCTGAGACTTTCTCGCCAGACTCAAGTAGATTTATGGGAGATCATGTTTTAGGAATACATGACCTTGAAGCATTTAGAAAAGGAGAGGGGGGGAAAGTGGATTTCAGTATGCAAAGATATATCACTTGGCATGTTTTGCTTAGTTTTCAGTGGATCGTTTTTGAAGCTGATAAATTTCCCTGAGTGGAGGCTGTTTGTTGACAAGTCCCAGCATATTCATTCACTTGCCTTCAGCCAGAAATCCTCCAAGCTGCAGCCCAAGTGATGAGAACAGCAGGGATGTGAGTCAGCCAGCCTCGCTGTTCCAAGCAGGATTTCCCTGCTGGCTCCAGGGGAGCAGGTCACTTCTCAGCACCAGGACCGGATGGGACAGGGGGATACAGCTGGGAGGAACGCCTGGGAAGGGCGGAGGGGAAGGTCTTCTTCCTCCGCCAGTCAGTGTTACGTGTAAGCGATGCATTTGCACAGCACTGACCTGATTAAATCAACACATCTAGATCAGCTGAGAAAGTGGGATCTCTGTGTCAGTAACTTATTACAAACTTTCAGACACTTCTGTTTAGCTTGGCAGGCTCCTCACTTGATGCTTTCCAGTGCTGGCAGATCAGCTGTGCTGTCAGATTCTCCAGGGGAGATGCACAGCAGCACAGCTGAAGGAGCTGTGCTGGGGACCATCCCTGTGTCTCTTATGGATGGTCTCCATGTGGGGTCCCACTTCCTGCACAGCTCTGGGGTGACCCCAGAGCACACCTTAGTCCTCCTCACATTTCTGCTCTCCTGTCTGTAAAATGAAGCTGAGGATTTCCCTGTCTCACTGAAAGCTGAGTCAAGGATTTATCCATGGTTATATCGTAAAGCTCTTTTCAGCATATTAAATGGCAATTAGCTCCAAAGAGCTAATTTTACAACGTCTATTTATGGATGATGGAGGGGGGAGGGGGAATGCCTTGGAATAGGACTGTATTCTGTTGGGAACTGGTGTCCATTTTCAGTTCCTGTTTTGCCTCCAACACTGTTTTATGGGAGAATGTAGGAAATTCTTCAACAACACAGACAACCCCAACAGAGGGTGAAAAGTGACAGAGCCCAGCCCTCCCCAGGAGCAGAATTGCTTCTGCAAAGAATTCCAGTGCTCTGTGGTTCTTATTTTGGGTTGGCGTGAGCAGAGTGAGAAACACAACAGTCCTGTGCCCCACGCAGTCCAGCTGGCATAGAGCTGACAATGACGTGGGCTTTGGGGGAGTCCACTGGCATGAGCAAAATATTTGGGAAACCCTGGAGAGGCAGGGGGTTAACTTGGGCTTTGTGATTGTCTCTTTGTCCCTGTAGATAAACTGGGAAGGAGGAGGAGGAGCTGACCTGGGTTAATTTTGGTGGGTCTTCCAGAAACGGATGCTTTGGGCACCGATCCAGATGGTCCCAGGCGGTACTGCAGTATCTCATGAGATACTGTGACACCAGACCCTGAGTGCCCGAGCAAAGAGCTACCAGCTTAGATCTATTATTAGCAAAAATTAAAAAAAGAGTCTTGACTGGATGTGGTGTTGTTTATGGTCAGAGCATTCCCAGGCCACAGGGACAGAGCTGGAGCCCGGGTGGTTTCCCTTTATGGACTTGTTTGGGAGCAGATGGTGAACAATGCATGCAGGGACCAGGGCTGAAGCTGTCCCTTGGATGACAACTGTGTCACCAAGTGCTTGAGCCTCAGTTTTCCTTCATCCTTTCCCTGTTTTATTTCTAATGACTCCTGCCAATGCTGAGTGTGATTCCCAAGTGGCAGGGCACATGACTGGGCAGAGGAGCCATCTCTCTTGCTCCCCCAAGACAGGAGGAGTCCATTGGAAAGCCAGGGTCCTGGTGCTGGACACAGGCTCTGCTGTGGCTGAAAGATGAAAAGACCTGAATAGTAACAGGAGGCTTGTAAGTGGTGGGAGATAGTGCACACCACACTATCTCCTCTCAGTTGCTGCCTCTCAGTTTTACAGGGTCCCTGTTCACATCAGAAGGGAATAATTTCCAAGTGTATTGATAAGCATCCTAGAGCATCCACAGCTCCCCTTGAAACAGAACCGTACCCAGGTTGTTCCCAATCGTCCAGGTCTCGTCATAGTCAAAATGGACATCTCCCTCCCGGTGTGTCTTGGGGAAGAACGCGTGCGCCAGGATCCCTCCGGGCCCGTCAAAAGGCAAGTTGTCTCCATGCCAGTACCTGGAGGGAAGACACATTGCACCTCAGACAAAGGGCCATGTATCTCCAGTAACAACATCGTAAGGCCAAAGGTGGGACCCGCTGTGAGGGGACAGCAGCTCTCATTCCCATCCCAAGTTCATCCTACCGGGCCAGATCAACTGCTCAGAGTCCTTCTGATTGCCACAACCAGTTCTGCATCAGGGCACTGAGGAAGCAGAGCTCAGTCACACCAAGCCCTGGGGAGTTTGTATGTTTTCTCAGGAATGTTTCTCCCCTCCCCCTGTTCAGATTTCAGCCCAAAGCTGACCATAGAGACTAAAGAATTAAGGAGGTGACTGCTCAAGCCAAGATTAAGTCAGCATTGCTGAGTGGTGGAGGGATGTGGAGGGGCAGCTGGCAGCAAACCCAGCCAAACTCTCAGGTCTTCACTCAAGCCGAGCCGTGGATGACTAACGAAGGAAACCCATGAGAGATGCGGCCACTTGAGAGAGCTGAGGGAGGCACAGGCATGCAAATCTCATCACTGCTTGGACAGTCTCCACTGCCTTCATTTGTTCTGTGCAAACATGCAGCACGGGGAAGTCTTTGCCCCAGTGTGTATTTTGCCAAAAGGGAATTTCAGACCAGGAGCCAAGATTCACTTAACCAAGAAACTATATTTGTCTTTGTGCAGACAGTTACGTTGTTCAGTCAAGGGACAGGATGGAGGACCTGAAGATGGAAATTCAAAACAAACGCTTAAGAAAACAGCCTGTGGGCAGAGAAATGTAAATGTACCAGGAAAATTAATGAATGATCAGTAACAGTGCTGTGCACAGCCAGTGTGGAGCAACTGCACATACACCAAGCAGCCCACAACTGATAAAAAAACCAAAACAACAAACCCCAAAAGATTCCAGTGTCTGAAAGCAGAAATATGAGTAGTCATTTAAGTGCCTAAGTTGTGTGCTGGCAGCTCTCTGCTCTGGTTAGGGCATTGCTCCTCTGTCTGGGAGGAGGGTGCTGCTGCCCACCGTGCTCACCTCGTGAAATCGATGACGATGTCAGCCCGTCCCTCCTGCACCTCAGTGAAGGTCAGCGGGGTCACATCGCTCCAGACTTTCAAAGCTTCTTCTATGGTCCTTCTCACTTTAGCTTTTACAAGTTGCCACGGGAACCTGACAATTCTGGAGGGCAACAAACACTGGATGAGCAGCTGCTGTCCTGTGGACACTGCTGTCATGAAGACACCAGCTCTAGGATCCACATCACTAGGGCTGCCACTCTCAGCACCAGAACATCTCCAATCCATAAACACTGCTCCAGCACCCTCTACTATGCAACATGTGCAGCAGATAAATCCCATCAGTGTTGAAACCCTCTGGCTGCTGGGCCAGAGGTGAGTTCCCTGGAAAGCTTTGTTTTCTCTGTTGTTCCACAGCATTCCCCAGGTCTGTCTCCTATGAGGCCACTGCCACAGAGATTCCAGGGAGTGGTGTGTTGTGATTCCTTCTTCTCAACCTCTGCATGTTTTGCCCCTGGAAACCTGGGCTCAATCAGAGCATTTGTCACCTCTTCTGCCCTCCTAAAACATGAGCAGACTGAAAGGGAGGTTTCTTTCCCTTCCGTTAACAGTGTTGCTCTATGTTAGCCTCTCCTCTGCTTCCTTCTTTAACACAGTTGACCAAAAAGAAAAGAAAAGGAAGAAGTCTTTCTGTTATCTACAGCCTCATAACGCTGTGAGGAACTGTCTCCTGCATTGAATTAAACAAAATATGATTTACATGCTGTCAAGGTCCATACGAGTGTGCTCACTTCTCCACTCATACCCTTGGGGGCAGCTGGGGAGGCAGCACAACCCTCCCGCCAGCCTGTTGAGTAGATTCACAAATGAGAATGTGTGGGGTGATTTGGGCAAAACTTTGCACTGAAGCTGTGTTTATGGGAACATCAGTAACAGCTGAATAAAAAGATCTTTTTAAAATAAACTGTGAGGTGAGCCCACCACGGGGTGGCTGGGGGAGCAAAGGCGCAGCAGGAGAGGGCTGGTGTTGGAGGCTCAGCTTGGCACGTGTCAGGGGTTTGGTGCAGGGAAGTGAATGTATGTGCACGGGGGTGTTGGTGTGGGGCTGACCAAGGGCTGGTGCAGAATGTGCTTGGGCAGGGTGGGTGGGCAGTGGTGTTTATGGAGCATGGGAGGGGCTGTGGAGGTGCTGGGGACAGCTCTGCTGGTGGTTCAGCATGTGGCTCCCCACAGCTCACATCCCAGTGTGCAGCGCTCCAGGGAACATCGGACTGAGAGGTTTGGGGAGGGAGAAGCAAACCAGCCTGACTCCCATTTCGGGCCTCTCTTACTTGTAGGTGAGATCAGTCTTGTCCCAGCGTCCGCCGGAGAGGACGAACCGCTTCTGCCGGTTGCGCCCGCTCTGTCCGTCCGTCAGCACCGGGAGGTCGGGCACGCCGCACCGGGGGGGGTTCCAGCGCGCCACCTGCTCCTCTGTACCCACAGGGAAGCCCTTGGCAGGCACACCAGTCCCCACAGCGTTCACCAAGGAGGATAGCCAAGGAGCCTGCTCCTTCCAGGTGTGATGCTTTCGAGACACGTCCTAAAAGGCAAAAGCAAAGCCATGACTTCAGCGTCTGGGAAGACACTTCTTGATGTGAAGTCAGTGGACATCAGCAGTCCTGACGCGGTGAGTTCCACCTCTACCTAGGGCTGTTCTGCTGCTGCTATGGCACAAACTGCTCCCCACAAACATCCTCTGTTCCCTGGGCTCTGCTGCTCCCAGGCCTGGTCACACCTGGGAGGCACTGTGTCATGCCATGGCACCCCTAAGCACTGGGCTATTTTTGGTCCACATTTCCTTGGCAGCTGGCCGGCAGGAAATATTTTGCAAGCCGTGGATGAGAACCAGACCCTTCAAGTATAAAACAAACCACTAGGGAGTAAATTCTCCCCCTTTGCCCCACATCCTTTATTCCCTCCTGGCCCCGGGGAGAGGTGATATTAATGGGAGGGAGCCTTTAGTGCCCAGCACACAGTTGTGCTCCCTGTTGTCACTTCCGCGGTGTCCCCTTGCTGTCCTGGCACTGTGGGCTCAGCATGGCCAGGGGACATGACAAGCTGCAGAGCAGGAACACAGATTTGGGGGTTGACAGTCCAGCCCATGGGGCAGAGAGCAGAAATGGCTGTCCCTGCAGCCCCTATCACTGCCTGAGGGAGGGACAGGACCATATCCCCTTGCCTCACTGCACCTGTGACTCTGATGGGGATAAGACCTCCTGGGCTCTCTCACACTTAGTCGGAAAAGCGCTTGATAACATTAACTCATGCTAATTAGCTGACTTCCATTGGTTTCCCACCTGACAGCAGGACTATGTTGCCCCCATTAAACACGACCCAGGTGTAATCTCCAACCTGCTGTGAGGCATGTGGGGTGAGAGGTGTTTGGTCCCTGCCACTGTGCTGCACAGGGTGGGGGTCCAAACACAGATTTTTATTTTTTTGCCTGGTTTTGTGCAGACAAATTTAAAGGTGTTTGAGCAGCAGGAGGAGCTGAGATGCAGCAGTGGTGCATCTCTACTTGGACAGGCAGGCTCTGTCCCACAGGGCTTCAGAGGGAGGGCCTGGGCTTTAGGAGTGCCCTTCCTTTCCCTGCAAAGAGCTGCCTTCTTCCAGGCCAGCTCTCCTGGCTGCCCTGCCGGGGACACAAAGGTCAGGATGGCACGATGCCAGAGCTGCCATGATGCCGTGTAATCCGCGTGCTGCCACCACTCTGTTCCCCACAATGAGCCCATTCATGCGGGCTGGAATGAAGTGTGAAGACCTTGGCATTAGTTCCGCTACCGAGCTCCCAACTCTGCAGCGGCCCAGTGCCTCTGAGCAAGGCACAGATGGACAAAGGAGCCAGGGAGGTCACACAAGGTGCAGTTTAGGTGTCCACATGTCAGTTTAGGCTTTTCATGTGTCTGTCACCACTCTAGCCTGCTGACCTGTCCTCCCCAGACAGACACACAGACACCCTTGGAGGTTTGTCACCTACCAGCCTTTGCCTTAGAACAATCCATACAATCCTGGTGTCCCAGTGCACTTTCACACACCACAGGAACTGCACCATCAACCCATGCAAAGAGGGAAAAAGCCATTTTACATCCTGAACAGCAAAGCCCAAGTTCCAGCCATGGCACTGAGAATCCATGCAGTGCTTTAGTGGGAGGAGAGAGTATGGACTTCCCTCTCCCAGGGGAGTCTGCACTGGGCTGCTCCTGCTGAACACTGGAGCCCTGCCAGGTCAGAGGTACCTGTCTCTCTAAGAGGAGCTCTCTAAGAGCTGCCTGGCACCCTGCCTGGGCTGGCAGCTAATGCCTGCAAAGGACAGCTGGCAGGAGGAGTTGATAATGTTCATGTTCTGGCCAACATCTTGCTCCCAGACCCAATGACACTGAAGCACATAATGGCAGCTGTGTCACCAAAGCCCAGCCTGGAGAGCTGCCACCACAGGCAGGTCCTGCCACCCGAGGACATGGGGTGATGAATGCATCCGGTTTCCCAGGGCCAGAATGAACAGGACAGCTGCTCCCAGGCACATGGGGAGAGAGGAGATGGACCCCTGGGAGAGCCCTCACTGTGGAACTGGGAGCACTGGAAAACCCTCAGGAGTTGCCCAGGTAGGTGAGTGGGATGAGGCTGACCCGGATGGGCTTACTCCTGTTTTTTTGTCTGGACGACACTAAGCACATCCCCCTCCTGGGAAGGCCAGTTGCCTTACAGGCTGGGGATACTGGCACAAACCGGAGATCATCACTCTCCTCTGAGCAAGAGCAGAGGGAGGAGAAACTACCTGTTTCCTTCTTGTCCCAAGAAATCCCATGTTCAGAGGCAGGCCAGAGGTAGTTTTTCTCTCCCCTCTTTGATTAGCTCAAGGCCACTGGCATGAATCCCAGCCTTTCAAACCCCACCTTGCCTTAGCCAGGACCCTTCCTGCTCCCTCCCTTGCCTGCCCTGTGCAGAGACCCAGCCCTGGGAGGGCTGGTCCTGCGAATGGCTCTGGGTGGAGGCAGGGGGGAAGACCTTCCCTGCTGCCCTGAGCTGTGCCCCTGGACAAACAGTAACTCTCTCCCTGTCGTCACTGCACCAACATTAGGACCATGGCAGGAAAGGGCTGGAAAATGCCACTGCAGGCACAGTCAGCAAGGGGAAATGTGACAGGCAGAAACCACTTGCCAAACAATGCTCAGGAGACACTCGGGCTGGAGATCTTGGTCTCCTTGGCTGGACACACCTTGCTGCAGGCACTTCCCGGGGCTTAGATAACGTGTCCGCTCCTTAAGGTTGTATCCTTCCCACCCAGCACTGAGCCCACCCTCTCCTGAGGAGACCTTGCTTAGTTCTCAGAGCTGTGGTACAATGCCCTGGCTGCATCCTTAGGGCTTCACTTAGGGCTGTGCTGCTGCTGAAACCAGTACAGACCTGTAAGGAGAGGGTGAGGAGGGCACTGGCTGCTGGGTACCTGTCGGGGCATCCCCACTCCTCGCATCCCACCAGCAGAGGGAAAGGGATTGCTGAACACAAAAGCAAAGGAAAACCCCTGCAGCCCAGGGCAAGGTTCAGCCCAGCTGAGTGCAAAACATATCTGAGCATCTGGCTGAGTGTGTGCAGCCACTTGCTCTGCCCTTCTCAGTATAACCAGCAGTTGGGGTGGCCACTGTGCCCGGGAACAGCTGGTTCGTAGTCAAGGAAGAGGCCAGGGCTTTGCAATGGAGACTGAGCAGCAAAATGCCAGCACAGAATGAGCACAGAGGGGCTGCTAGGCCTGAGACCAATGGTGGGGACAGTGGAGAAGCAAAGCTGTACACAGAGTGCTGTGGTGCAGACTGGTCACAGCTCCTCACAAAGAACGTGCCTCTTCCTGCAGCCTTGTGACTGAGAGGCTGAGAGGGAATGGGAGGGAATGGACAGATCCCATGGGAGACCAGAAACCACAGCGGAGGTGCAGGCTGCCCACTCAGTTCCTTACAGCTTTATCAGTGCTGCGATACAACAGCCATCACTTCTGGGTCTGCCGGGGCCAGATGAACACCAGCCAAGCTTCCCAGGAAGCGTCCCAGCCATCCCAAGGAGCCAGGAGCATCTTTAACCTCATTGTGTTGGGCAGCACTCACCCTCCAGAGCTCCCAGGAGGAGCAGCAGCCAGAGCAGCACAGCTACAGTCAAGTATCAGCAACACCCCGTTTGAATGAGAGAGGCCGGTGCCTGGCACTGACAAACCCACTGCTCTCCTCTGCCTGGGTCCATCCTCCTCTGCCTGCCCTGAACTTAAACTTGTGTCTTCTGTTGTGTACCTAATTACCTGGGCTCCTGTCTGCTTCTGCAGCATGGACATGAAAGGAGACCCCTCTCCCTGTCAGACAGGAGTGACTGGACAAGTTACAACATGAATCCCATCAATTTTGGATATGTCCCCTGTCATTGGGGCTGTTTCCTTTTCTGTTGGGGAATGAGCTCATGGACTGTCCTCCCACCTCCCTGTCCCTTCTGTTGCTGATTTTCCATTTCTCCCTGCTTTCTCCTTCCATTACTCAGAGTGTTTGTCAAGGCCTTGGTGTTTGCTGCCTCTCTGGCTAGTAGCATTATCCTCCTTCCACCTACGAGCCTGCACATTGGATCACTCCTGCCCTTATTTCAATGCACTGGGAAGGACAGCAGAGATGCTTTCACCTGCAGCTCTCATGTAAAACAGTTCTCTCACCCCATTTCTGCCCATTGTGGGGTGTCTGTGCCCCCCAAGGGGCTTGCACCCCCTTTAAGAGCAATGTTCCTGCCTGAGATCAGCACTATTGTCCTGATGCACAGGGTACCATACCATGGCTGGCTTTTTATTGAGTCTGCCTCTCAGCCCAGCATGGATTTGCAGGGGTTAGATTTGAAACTGCAGCTACAGCTGATGGTTAGTGGTAAAACTGCAGTCAGGTTGTGTCCCAGAAGCAAACTGGCCCAGGAAGGTGCTGCAGCTTAACTTTCACAGCAGCACATTACTGTGGTCTGGTCTGACCCTGAGCTAAGTGTGTTCCTGGTCAAGGCACTGTTAGTGGAAACAATACCTAGGCAAAGCCACCAGATTTATTGATCCTACTTCCTCCAGAACAAGGCAGAGTCTCCCAACCCCTCTAACTATGAATTCTTTCCTTACACAAAATACTTCTGCTACAGGACTGGCTCCTTTGTGCTGGGCTGCAGGCAGAGCCAGGGAGAACACAAAGGCTGAGGCCAAATGGGAGCTGCTGCAGTGCCTGGCCATGCAGTTGGATATTCCTCTCCACTCACTTCCCATACTCTGTGGCACCATCCAGCACTACCTCCTGGGGCCTGACAGTTTGTTTCCGGATTACTTGGTGGTAGTTGTTGTTGGCAACAAAAAAAGGAAAATGTTTATTTTTCCTAAGCAACGTTGAACATGAAACATTATGGACTGCAAATGTTTATGCCCACAGACAGAATGAGAAGAACCAGGCCTTCGAGTAACAAGAGAAAGCAAATGAATAAACACTGCACGACTATTTTTATTATCAGACATTTTAATTATGTGACAATTTGTGAGTCTATTCCATCAACAACACCAAAACCAAACTGCTGGTGTCACCCAAGCAACAGTTTGCCAGAAATAGGAGTACTTACAGAGCAAACAAACCCCAGGATGCCAGGATAGCAAAAGGTTTCAAGAGCCCTTAATCTGATGACCTAGAAATCCCCTTGAACCTAAGAAACAGCTCTAGGATGCAGCACACTCCCAGCAGGGGAGGAAGGGGGTTGAGGTGTTTTGTTCATTGTGCAGTTACATCCAAGCTAAGGTGAGCCATGAACAACGGCCGGGATATCTCCCACTGGGTTTGACCACCCATCACAGTGCAGCCCTCTCCAGAGCTATGGGGGGATGTTTTAGCCTCAGGGAGTGCAGGATGCTCAAATGTGCAGTCTGGGATCTCCACACCCACAAGACAAGCACTTTTCCCCTGCCCAATCTCCTGGAGATGTCAGGGGGGTTTTCCTCCTCTGGTAGCTTTCAGAGTCACTTTTGTGAGATGTCTCTCTCCTGCCCAAAGACTGCTAAGAGGAGATCTGCTCACCTGTCTGTCCTTGTTGGGACTCATCTGCACCAGGATCTCAGTGAACCTCTAAAAACATGTCTGTGGCCCTCAGTGAACCCCTGAAGTGCTCTGCTTTTCACTTTGCTAGGCAGCTATGTGCAAACTCAGCAATGCTTCCATTCACATCACAGGCTGAGCCATCCCCAGTGTAAGAATATCCAGGGAGCTTTCATTTACCTGTCTGCGTATTTGGAATTAGTAGGAAAGAGCTACTTAGTGGGAAAGAGGATGACCAGCATCTCTGCGGGCCAATTTTCCACAGAAGATTCTTTTCAAACAAGTCCTGTGTGGTGCATCCTTTCTGCAGAGCCCCACAGGGTGTGGTGCCAGGGCAGGACAAGTGTGGGGGAAGCAGGGAAAGTGCAACATAAGCTGGAGAGGGGGATCCTCCCCAGGGTTCTTCTCTCCTCCCTGCCCTTTTCTCCCTCCCGGATCCGCTTTGCCAGCTGCACCTCCCAGGTCTTGCCACACCGCAGGGTGTGCGTGTGTGTTGCATGTGGAAGCACAAACACAACAAACCCGCTGGAGAATAACTGCTTACATGTGTCTTGAGTCTCTCCCAGAGCAGAAGATAAACATGCCTAAAATTACCCCAACACTGACTGTAGCTTTCAAATAGCCAAACCAAAGAGTGCAAATACAACCCTTCCTGCGGGAGCTGCCTGAACCCCGAGCAAGGCAAGCAGCCTCCCCGGCTCCTGGGCTGCGGGGAAGGCACCGCTGTGCTTCCAGCAGGGAACCTGCTGCGTTCGGGGTGAGAGCTGCAGGACACGGATTACGCTGGCAGCTGGGAGGGTGCCCACCACTTCTCCACGGAGAGAGAGCTTCCCAGCAAATGGACAGACTTTGATTTCCCAGGGGAGCTGAAAGCAGTGCAGGAATTCAGTGTCTGCGCGTGCACAGCCCCAAGGACTGCAGATCTTTTGTTCTCAAGTTTTACAGTGGACACCAGACACAGCCTTTATTCTGCTCTCAGTTTTCTCTTTCTTTCTTTAGGCATTAATATAAAAGTGAAGGAGATCTACAGGGTTTGCCTCGAAGAACACAAGTCCTCCTGCAACTTGCCCTGTAGCCTGGCTTTAAAATGAATCTTGGCCCTTGATTCCCTCCCTTCAGAGTTACTGGTGTTGTGACTTGTTATTGGAGCACAGCCATGGTGCAGCACACTGCTGCACCGAGGGCTGTCCTTGCCCACCCCCTCTACCAGCACAGCCCGAGGAAGTCACCTTTGTCTGTCTTATTGGAGTGTGAATCTCTTTTACCAGCTCAGCCTCTTGGCTCCTTTCTCATTCATCACCCAACAGCAAAAGGTGGCCAGACAGGAAATTAGCTGCTGTCAGACATCAGGGAAACATCCCTTTGTGCAGAGAGACTCCAAGTAGCCAGAGAAGGGAACATGATGCAGCTCTCTAGCAAGAGAGGGTAGAGAAAAGCTGAGGCCAGATGCACATGCACGGGTCCCTGTCAGCCCAGCAATCCCACATCAGCTATCCTGCACTGACATGTGTTTCCCAGGAGGAGAGGAATGGAGTGCACTGCCAACTTACATCATATGTGAGAGCAACCCCCAGGTAAAAGTGGCTTTACCTCACAGGCAGTAGAATAACCTTCAGAAGCCTTGACATCAGATAAGGAACCCAAAAGGGCAGCTATTTGGGATGACAGAACTGCTGTTTGAAAGGATGGGAAATCACCTGTCCGTTTCCAATCCCAAACCAATGCAGCCACCATCTCTGCAAAGACTGAAATACATTGATCCAAAACCCTGAGCCCCACATGGCTGGTCAAACACACAAGCACAAGGTATTCCTGAACAAAACATACCTGTAGGAGCATCACCTGGAGTTACTCCAGCCAAGAGGAAAGCATCAGCATTCACAATGCAGAGCATTAGCCTAGGATGAGGAAGAAACCAGACTGCCACCTGGGGGGAACCTTCTTCTGGAGCATGGTGGTGGACTAGGTGGACCAGAAGCCTGAGCAAACCTGGACCTCTGCATTAACTCTGTGCTCTTCAGCAATTTGGTGTATTCCCCACTTCAAGGGGTACTGGCCAAGGCAGGTGAGCCCCAGCAACCTCTGCAGTCAGTCAGCAGCTGCGAGCACTGGTAAAAGGACAGTGACACCACAGCTGGACCGGGCCCAAAGTCAGATGGTGTGAAACCCAGGCTGGCTCTCCCTTCCCTGGAGATCCCACACAGGTCTTTGCTGGCAACAAGACCAGGACCAGAGTCTGTGCAGGTCCCCCCAGGAGCAGCAGCTTCACAGCTTGCACACATCAGAGTGTGAGGCACCTGCCAGCCCAGCCCATGTCCCGCAGGAACCAGCGGTCTCCAGCTTAGCGCAGGTGGAGCTCTGCCCTCCCTTGCTGCACTCCAATGGGGCTGAAATCCACGGTGGTGTCATTACTGGAGTGCAGAGTGCCACCACCGAGTGCTTGGTCTCACCTTCCTCAGAGGCAGAGCAGAGCCAAACACAGTGACATTTCATTTGGAATAACACAAGCACTTTGGGGGCCAAAGCTGCTCTGTGCCAAGTCCCAGCCCACAGCATATTTAGCAGCCAAGTTAGAAAGTACTCAGATGACAGAGCTGATAATAGAACCATCGACAGAACCTGAACTAATCCCCTTGGGCTGCTACCGGGCATTTGCTCTGTTATTATTTCATGGCACACCAGCGAAGCGCATGTCTATAATAACCCAATTACGCACGCACACATTCCCAGCACAAGGAGCTCTCTGTCTTCTCCCGTTCCCTAAATCCCTCGCACACCGCTGCTCTTCTCTGGCAGCCGCAGTCCCTGCTGCTCGCAGCTCCGTCCCAGGTGCTGGGATCGGGCAGGCATGTGCAGAAAGAAAGAGCCCTGCTGCTCCTCTCCTGCCTGCGCCTTTGATTCATCCCTTTAGTCTCCTCTCTCCGTAACACTTCTCAGAACTTCCAGCACAGCTTGCGGGGGGTGTCTGAGCAGCAGCGAGTGCTCTGCTGCCTATAAAGCAGAGGGGATCCCGTGTCCTCTCCTAAACCCTCCTTATCCCGATCCCTGTTTTTCTCTCGGGAGCACGCCTGTGGAATCTCCCCTAACATGTCAAGAGGAGCCCGCCGAGCGGAGCCACCGCCGGGGCAGGGGCAGCCGTCCCGCGGCCGGTGCCTCCCGGCAGCGCTGCCCGTGCCGGCAACCCGAGGGCGGCTCGGGGATGGATGGAAACGGTGTGGGGGGGAAGACGGCTCATCCCGTTCAGCGGAGGGTCTGCCTGGGAGATGCTGCCCTCGGGACCGCACCGGAGAGCGGCGGGGGGCACGGAGAGAGGCACCGGGTGGTCCCGACTCACCGGCTTGTGTCGGCGGGCGGGCGCGGCGGGCGCGCAGTGCAGCAGAGCGGCGGCCAGCAAGGCGGCGGCGGCGGGCAGCGGGGCACGGGCCATGCCGGGCGGCGGAGCGGGCTCGGACATGGGGCAGAGGAGGAGGGAGGGGGGTCCTCGCTGAGCCTTTTATCCCCCCACCGCGGCCGCCTGCCCTCCTCCTCGCGCCTCCTCCCGCTCCTGCCTTTTGTTCTCCCCGAGCCGCGGCTGTTCGGGCCGGGGGGACACGGCCCGGCGGCATCGCGGGAGGGAGGGGGGGTCCCGCCCGTCCCGCCCCGCTCCGCCCCCGGGGGGGCGGTGAGGCGGAGCACACGGGACGGGCGGGACCCCCCTCCCACGCCTCCCCGGCACCGGCCCCCTGGCCTCCGTGCACCCGGGTCCTGTCTGCGTTGGGATGGCTTCAAACGGGTCTTTTTAAAGGTGTCTTTCACCTCTCCTGCCTGAGGGTACCAAGGACTGAAAACAATCCTCTTAGACCCTCAGTGCCCGTCGAGACCACTCTAGTCCCCATGGGGAATAGCTCATCTCTGTGTTTAAATCTGTCTGCACCCCTGCTTTGCCTGTGCAGGGCTCTGCTGAAGCCCTTCACTCACCCTTTGCAAGAGGACTTTCCCTGTGTGAGATGCTGAGGGATGGGAAAGAAGGGAGCAGCTCCCCATTTCGGAGATGCCAAAGTCTCCTCCGTCTGCTCGGCCACCTGGAGGGGGAGGCAGCAATGCACAGATCTGGTTTCTTGGTTCCTGTTTCTATGGAAGAAGCCCTGGACTGTGTCAGCATCCCCTCAGTAGACTGAGTTTAGCTGCAAATTGTTTCAAGAAATGTATTGCAAATAAGAAAACTTTGATCTCCAGCTGCCTGGGCTGGTGTGCAGGGAGTGGGTAAGGCTTCCTGACATCCCGGACTCTATTACTGCGTTATTTGTCTGTGATCAGTTATTCATGTTTTGTTTTATGGGAACCATACTGAGGATGTAAATACTGGGTACGGTAAGCAGATGTGAAAAGAAAGGCTGTGTTTGGAAGGTGCTGCAGTGGCTCACAGGCCCTTAGTGAGATGTCCCCGCACTGGAGCACCATATTCAGCGTATCCCCAAGGCCTTATTTCTAAGAGGGGATAGGGAAAGAGAAGAGAACACTTTACATTGTGGAATTTACCCTTCTGGTGTTATTCTGGCTGTGCCCCAGGAATGCAGAGCAGACCCTACTTTCTTGCCTTGCTCTGAGCCAGACAGCTGGGTCCCAGCAAGAAAAGCTTTCCTGCCTTTGTCTCTCTTTTCTTTAGTGTCTTTTCTTTTAATGCTGGTGTCTCTGGGAGCTCAGTGCTTTCCAGCCCATGGCCGTGGAGCCTGCTGCTGCCCTGGGGAAGCGGGGAGAGGCATGGGAGCAGCCTGTAAGGCAGCGACAGGCAGTTTGGCTCTCCTTAATAAAGAGAGACTTTTAAAGGGGGTGTTCTGGGAAACTCAGTCCTTGCAGAGATGTGACTCTGTGTGAGAACTGCTGGCTCCTGCCAAGGCACTTAACACAAAAGAAAGTGCATGGTGTGTTTGGGATTGCAAATATTTCCCAGCTGAGCAAGTAGATGTTCAGCAGCAGGAAAATGGCCCACTGGGTGTTTTGGGAGCTCGTGTGCTCACTTTCTGCAGAGGGCCCTGTGCGCAGCCTGCAGAAATCCTTTCCTATGCTGGGAGCTCTCTCAGCCACTGTGTGTCCTGTCCCTGCAGGCCTCATCCCTGCCTCTGTTTGCAGTTTGCTGGATGTGCAGAGCCTGCTGGCAGATGAGCACAGGGCTCCCACCCCAGCCCCAGAGCGCCGACAGTCTGACATCTCTCAGTGCAGGCACTGTCTGCTCGCTTTCCTGCAGCTCCTGCCAGGCTGGAGCCAAATTTGGGCTTTTCATGATGGCTACAGGAGCTCAGTGAAAGCCTTCATGGCTGAGAGGTCCCAATGGTCACTGATGTTTCTGATACAGTATCCCCATGTGTAGCTCTTTTTGCTCAGCATCTCCTCAGGGCCTTCCAGTCCTAGAAAGTAGCAGAACTGTCATGGGTTTTCCAAGTCCTTATGACTTACAAGCATTAGCTCTTCTCCCACTGTCCTAAGGCTTTCCAGCAAGGAGGACCTTGTGAATATCTGGGAAGGCAAAGCGGCATTGTAATGTGAGTGCCAACAGGAATCACCAGCTGGGGATAACCTCTCCCAGCAGTCCAGCAGGTGTCAGGTGGGAAGAGACTGTGCAAGAGGAAGAGAACAGCAGGTCTGATTCCACTCTGTTGTGATCAGCAAAGAGGTCAAATAACTCTTTCAGTCCATGGGCCACTTGAGTGGGAAACTGCTGCAAGGCACTTTGGACTGAGAGGAGGTGGGGGAAGAGGTGTCTGATGAGGAGCAAAGGGGAAAGGGGAGGGAAGTGAGAGAGAAACTGAATTTAAACAGATTAAGCCTGTCTGTCCAAAGTCCTTTGTTTCCTGCCACCTCCCTGGTGTGACTTTCACAGCTGTATTCTGTGTGGCTGGGGACCTGGGTTTAGGTTCCCTGCAAAGTCAGCATGGAGCTTTACACCTCCTGAGCAGCTGGAAGAAGGTCCAAGAGCCAAATCCCCAGAACAGAGAAATCCCTTTGATTTTTCTTCTCTAACATCTTTCCTCCTCTCTCTGTAGGAGATGGCCTCATGAATTGATGTTTCCAGCATCACTGCTCAGTGGGTGACAAATGGGGATGCATCCCCACCAGGCAAGTCTGTTCTCACCCTCTCGCTTTTGGGATTCCCCTTTTCTTTGGCCCTGGCACCTTGTTTTTCTCCTGGGCAGCCGAAGTGGGTGTTTGTACAGGTGGTGGTAGCTGCAGACAAGGCTGGGGGTCATGTGCAGTGAACTGCCCTCATAAACACCACCAATCAGGAGTATTTCCTGAATTACCTGGTCTTCTGCTCTGCTGCCATGCATGGGCATGGGCGGAGGGCAAGAAGAGGATGTGGAGTGACAGGAAACTTGGCCTTTGGGCCTGGACTCACAAGTGGAAAGGTAAGGTAATATGTAGAAGTGTCTGTTGGTCAGCAAAATCCTTTGCTTCAAAGCTCTTTAGGGTTTTTTTTAATCTTTTAAATGAAAATGATGGAATTGTACAGGCTGTTCTGGATCCAAATAGTGCACCTTGAAAACACCAAAGTCTTCCAGATTTCAGCGTAACTAGGCCAGTACAACAGTCCCACCACGCATTTCTAGAAAGTTTTGCTTGATTTGCTACTACTTATTTTACATTTATTTTCTTTTGCCCCCTCTTCCTTGACCTTAATTCTGGGTTGAACACAGCAGTGCAGAGTCTGACAAGGTTGTGATCTGCCTGATGTACTGTCCTTACAAAACCAAGGGATGCAAGTGGAGCAGAGCCCCTGGCTGGGCACACATCTACCTGCAGGGCTGCTGGGCAGGCACTGCTGCCTCCTCCAAACTGGGAACAAGGGTGATGGTGGCAGGACTGTCCAGCACCTCACCTTGCAGAGGTGCACTGCAGTTCTGCAGGCATCCAGTGCAGGAGGGAGTCCCTGGGGGAGCACTAAGGCAGCCTCAGCTCACACTGCAGCTCACGCAGTGCCCGAGCAGCTGCGGGGTCTTGCGGCTCTTCCTCCCCCCTCTCCTGCTGCAGCCCCGGTGCAGCTGCAGCCAGCTCTGAGACTGAGCCCTGCGATTTGGCCCCCGAGAAGCAGCTCCCTGCTGGGCCGTGGTCTCGGCAGGGCAGGGGCAGGCTGCAGCTCGGGAGAGCTCCGCCACAGTGTTTGTTGTCTAATCATCTCCTGCCCCCGTGCCAGGAGCCGAGCGCACACAAACAGTGCCGGGCTCCGGTGAGAAGCACTGCCTGCGAGATAAGCCAGGCAAGGAAAACATATCCATCTTCGTGTCTCTTGGCCTGAGATGCAGTTTCATCTGCTGGCATTTTCCTGGCGTAGGCTCAGGGCACACCACAATTCACCTGGGGAGCCAGACGCCGGGGAGCCAGCTCCCATTCCTGGCGAGAGGTGTCAGCCCCGACTGGTGCGGGGTGCGACGGCTGCGAGGAGCTGGCGGCTGAGGCCCTGTTGGTGCTCAGGGAAGGGATCTGACCCCAGGCTGAGCTCCTGTGGCAGCCTGGACCTGGCTACATGTCACCAACGGTTTGCTCACCTGAGCAACAGGGCCAGACTCCCTGCCCGGACTCCCCGCGCCCGGCCGTGCACCCAGCACCCGGCAGAGTCCAGGTAAAGAGCTCCCAGCCAGCAGCCTGGACAAAGCAGAAATGGCTGGGACATCCAGTGCCGAGCAGAGACGCGACTCCAGCCTGCGGCTGCTCAGTGTCTGATAAGGAGGTTGCTAGTGCCGTCTTGCAGCGCTCCCAACCTGCCAGCTCTCCGCAAATGAAACGTCCCGGTGAAACGCCCCCCACCCCTGGCTCCCTCTGATCCCCTCCGAAGCCGATCTGAGACTGGAATGTCTCCTGGGATGTGATTCCCTGTAGCCTGAGGGGAACTGCGTTAATAAAACCCGGCGTGAGCGGTGGAGGCGATGGGGGAGGAGGCAGGCAGGGCTGGTGAGATGAGGCTTTTATGAACAAGTCGCAGGTCTGCTGGAAATGTCCCGTCCTGTCCTCTCTCCCTCCCCCTGTCCCCGGAGTCGAGCTGTGGAATTCAGGGTGTGGGTCGAGGCTTTTCTTCACGCACGTTTCTACCCAGAGCAGCCAAGCCCCTCATCTCCCTCCCTCTCTCCCCCCACCTCAGCAAACGCTGCTGAACTCACCTCCCGGGAACAGGTACCACTCCCCCAGCCCCTCTCGGCACAGCCTCACTGCTGCTGGGACCGTCCTGCCCCTCCACATTGCTCGGGCATCTCCCCACGGGGTGTCTGTAACCAGTGGAAGGTGTCTGTCCCCAGGATGAACAAGGAAGCGTGGCCAGGGCCAGCAGTAGGAAAGAGAGAGTGCTCCCACATCTCAGCAGGAGTGGTGGCTGCACTCGTGGCAGGGAGGCAGCTGGGCTGGTTGGTGCCAGGTGAGCAGAACCAGGCAGACATGGGGCTCTGACTGAATGAAGCCGCATGAAGGCAGTAAGGATGTGAGCCAGGAGGGGAAAAAGACAGGAGAACAAGCAAACTCAGTCCAGATAACCAGGAAGAGAGACCATGGAAGCGTTTTATTGGTGTGAACGCTCTCTCAGCTCCCATTGGGATCAAAGTGCCTCTCACAGTGGTTACTTTGTGCAGTAGTGATTTTGTAAAGCTCTTGTTATTTTGTGCAGCTCTGCCATTCGGAGCTCATGCTACCCTAGGATGCTGTGGGGAAGGACATGTCCCACACTGCATTGCCACTAATAAATGTTACTGGATTAAATTGGCTGCTGGACAGTCACAGAGCTCAGTTCCCAAAGTGTTTTCCCGCTTTCTCTTGGGAAGCGATTGCTGAACTCAGAGGCTGCATTATCACAAACTCACAGTGGAAGCTTTGGATGCAGGGAATCACCAAGAGAGCACACTGAAGGCTCTGAAGAACAGTCTAAAAGAAGCACCATGAGACCTTGCCCAAAGCTGGGAATGAATCCAGCATGGCATGCACAGTGTCCAGCCTTTCCAGAAAGCTGAGGAGTTTGCTCACACCACTGATTTTGCAAAGGCCAGGCTGTCCCTACAGAGGAGGATGTTTGCAGTGTTCCTATGGAGGAGCCCCTGGATGGACTCTGCGCTGAGCTCAGGACTCTATGGTGGAGATGGCAGCTGAAACAAGAGCATTTCAGCAGAAATCACGACAAAACAGAGAGCACAACCAGGCTGCCCTGTGCATTTGCAGGGATTATTGACTATCCATGTGAAAAGGAGACATCAGTGCCTTCCACAGAGGAAGGAAAACATGAGCTGCAGTATTTAGTTTCCATCTGAGAAAAGGTGTCAGAAGCTGATGGCTGGACAGCTTCAGTAGGACAGGGAGAGCAATGTGATTAAAACTCATGAGGCACTTTGGAGAGCTGAGACAGAGGACCTCAAATCCCAGATGTCTGTGAAATGTCCTGTAGAGGCTGCAGCACCACACAAGATCTCTCTGGCTGCTGTATGGGCTCTGTCTTTGCTTGGGAAGGGGGAGATGGGGGGATTTACTGTAATATTCTAGTTCAAAGCAGTAGCTGTTCGTGGGTTGGTGCTAACAGCCTCCTAAAGGTCAGGGGTGCCTCTGCCTTGCACACAGACCCCATCCTGCTTCCGTAGTCGGGCTCATGTTGTTTTACTGCAGATGCCCGGGAGCTGTGCCCCCTGGAGCTGTGCGTGGGGAGCACCGAGGCAGCTCTCCAGGGATGTTTGCTGTCTGTCTGCAGCAGAGAGGGGGAACCAGACCAGCCACGGAGCAGCTATGCAAGAGCAGAAGGGAATGGCCTCTGGGCAGACGTTTAGGTGAAGAGGAAATGCTGAGTCCCAAGCCCATCAACCGGGACACCTCAGGTAAAGCATCAACAGGGAAAGCAGGGAGCCTGTAGAGGTGTGAGATCCCTCCAGGGCCTGCTTAGCACTATCTCCTGCAAGGGGTGTGAGCTTGCTGCTTTGGGCTCCCTGAAACCACTTGGTGGATCCCAGCCACAGGAAAGGCAGCCAAGGGCAGGGGCTCGTTGCTCAGATCCCCCAGACACACACAAAACAAACTCATGCTGGCTTTGTAGCTGTACTTCTGTGGCCATGAAGAAAACAAAACAAATTCACAAACAAAATCTCTGGGCTCAGGTTTGCTGTCCTGTACTGTATTCAGCAGGTGAATTGACAGTAATTGTTGTCTTCACCATCTGAGGATACCCTGGAGGTGTTTAGGTAATTTCTTGACTAGATCTGTCTGAAGAATTTGGGGACACAAAAGTTCTTCTTTCAGTTACAACTAATAGCATCAGTCTTCAGCTGGGATCAGAACATGCCTCCAAGTGCACAAACCCCACTTCTGGATGTGTGAATATAAAAGAAATGGAACTTCTGAGATGCAGCCACCACAAGGAGATTTGAAAAAGTTCTTCTTCTACCATCTCTCTTTCCCCATCAGGAGGTGAGGGCGTCCATATTCCACAATTGGTACCTTCTTCCACCCACAGGCCACCCGGGTGGGTTCAAGTGGCACAGGTAAACACAGGGATGTACCTGCACTTCCCAGCACCCCTGGGAATGGCTGAGAGAAACCTCTTCTGAGGGGGAAGAGCTGTCCAGAAACCTGGAGCACAGCAGTGTAGCTCAGGTGTGCTCCAGCAGTCAGGCCCTGGGGTTCAAACAGGAAATGCTCATGACATGAACAGATTCAGGTCTGTAAGAGCCTTCAGACCAAAAGTGGGCAAGCATGAATGAGTTAAAAGCCTTTCCTTTGCTTGGTGAAATTTATTGAAAACTACATTGTTCATCTGTTGAAACTTCACAGCTGTTGAGATTGCCCTCGGGGCAAACCACATCCAAGAAATGGCATGTAGATCCTGGGAGCACGAGACTTGAAAGCTGAAACAGCACTCAGAGTGCTGCCTCCCCTCCCTTGCAGTCACGTCTGGCCATCTGCAGCTCCTCCACCGAGACGCCGTGGCTTTTCCTTCCTCCCGTTTCTCATCTTCGACTCTCGCAACGCAGTCACTTTGTTTCAGGCATTGTATCCTGGCTAAAAAGAGACTGAGGCAGCAAGAATCTGTCGGGGGAGTGTGCACGAGGCCCGTGGCATCCAGAGTGAGACAGGGCTCTGTGCCACACTGCCGTGGGGGTGCCATCGAATATCGCCTACCTGTGACACTGCTGCTTTATTATCCCTTGGGGAATGGTGGTGAGGCAGGACTGTGGGAAGTGTGCCATTTGTTCGTGAAAGATCTGTGAATTCTATTTCGTGGAACTTGCCTGATTTTTTAAAAATTATTATTATTTCTCAGTGGCAACTCTGCTTTTTTTATAGGATAAAAAAAGTAGTGCTTGCATCTTTCCATCTGACTCGAGAGCTCCGTGTGAACCTGGGGACTGAAATCAGCCACTTGGCACATGCGGAATTAGGACCA